CCCTGCACTCGCCCTCCCCACCACTTCGTCCTCGTCCCTGGTGCTGGCATAGCCCCGCTGGGCTCGCAGGAGGGTGCCAGCGGCATCTGGTCGCATCCTTTCCCCAGACCTTGATTTACCTTCCAAATCTTGCTTTTTAAAACCTTTTCTCCCTGAAACATGTCATTATGGAGAAGCTTTCACCTCACTGCCCTCCAGCTTCCGCGGCAGAAGCAAGTCCTGCCTGCCCTTGCTGGGGTTTGGGAGTTGTAGTTGCATAGAAATGGTTCAAAAAACGTCTTTTTTGGCCCGTTTGAGCCAGGTAGCGCCCGTCCAATGGGATTTTGCCGACGCGGTTCCCTGCCGTGCTAGTCTCACCCAGCCTCGCCGGGCTGCTCAGCCTGCGGCGCTTGCAGCCTCCAACAGATTTGTCTTGGCCTGAAAATACTGTAAACATTTTGGGCAGCGTTCTCCGTTCCCTTATGGTCCAAGATGCAAACACTCCCAAGCCGACAAGTTACGCACAGTCCTTGGCACCCGAAGAAAACGCTGTGTTTGCACCACATGAAAATGCTGGATCCGCATCCAAAGCCGTGGAGAGGAACATCGGGAGCGGAAGGACCGTGGCGGATGGCAGGAAAAAGAGCCCAAACACTCTGGGCTCGGCACGTCTCGCCACCTCGGGGCAGGTTTTGAGGTTTCTCGAGGATCCCTTCGCCATCCTCGTCTAGTCTTGGAGCACCCTTAGGGCTGCTTTAAGGTTTTTGCAGTTTTCTCTCCCAAATTCCCCCCCCCGGAGACTGTTCCTGATCGCCATCTCCTTGTTTGCCGTCTCCTGTCACCCAGGACAAGCCACCCCATCCCAGCTTTGTCCCCACAGACCCAGTTCATCTGGTATTTCTTGAACTTCCCTGCTCCGAGGGTATCTCTGCAGCCTCAAAGCTTCCCCAGCATCAAGCATTTATATAACCGTGAAGTCACAGGCTGCGAATTTGCTGCCAAATCGGAATCTAAGTGGGTTTTAAGGGGCCGCTGCAGCTCTGGCAGCATCTCGGAAAGGATGAGGAGGAAGCAGGGCTTGGGTCAATCGAGGCAGAAGCTCTTGATTTCATTTTCCTGAGTGGCTCTGGAGGCTTGGCGGAGCAAGGGGCTTCTCTCCTGGCCGTGCTGGGGGGCTCCTGGGGGGTTGGTACCACCAGCAAGTCGATCTATTCAAATTACGCCTTAAGACCAGAGTAAACGTGATATTTTTAATCTTTTTTCGGTCTTGGGAAGGTACCATCCGTGAACCCCCCCGTGCTCTATGAGGATGCCCTTGAGAGGTTTCTCCCCCCTGGGGAGGAGGGGTCTAACTTTGAATATCAATGCGAAGAGGAACGTTGCTCTGTTACTTTGTGAATATTCAGAACCTGGTTTTATTTGTGGCCTGAGCCTACCCATGAGGGGTTCAGCGCCCCTGCGGGGTCACCTCCGCGTTGGAGCCGCCGTCGGGAGCAGGATCCAGCCACGCAACCCCCGCGGCTCTCTCTGTGCCCGGCAAAGTCCTGCCCGTTGCAAGCTTTTAAGTCTGAGAAAATCTCCCTTAATGCAGAGAGGGGGGTTTCCTTAATCAGGCGGGGGACAGCTGAGGCCCCCAGACAGGCACGCTGGGTGCCACGTGCGCGCCCGGGCTGGGATCACGCCGGCTTTGCTCCTCGCTGTCGCTTCTCGTTTCCTCGCTGCCGGCCTGATGTGCCAGTTTCTGAGAAGGGACTTGGATGAGAGCGGAGCTCGCCGGGCACGGGGATGCTCCAGAGCCAAAGTCACGCAGCAGTTTCTTGCTTTTCCGTGGCTGAAATGTCCTGGCAAGGGGGGAGGAGGTGCTGATTTTTCCTTAATTCTCTTTCCCGGGGTTGTCGTGGCCCAGGGTGTGTCACATTTTGCAGGAGGAGGAGCGTGGAGGCGGCTGCTGGTGGTGCCTCCTCATCCTCTCCCAGATTCCTCAAAGCCAGGAGTGGTTGAGTCTCCCTCCTCTACGGGAAATCATCCACATCCCGGTCGAGCATCGTTTCCTCTCACATATTCTGAATTTCCTGCTCCTCTCTCACCCTCTTCGGGCTGGAAATCAGCTTCCTGGGGCGAGGGAGCGTTGCCTGGGATGTTCTGCTCTCGGGGGTTCCTGGTAAAATGGGGAGGATGACCTGGGGGTGGGAGGTCGGGTGATGAACAAGTTTGGGTTTTTTATCCCCAAATGAAATTCTCACCCTGGTTTTCTCCTTCGGAACTGTTTTCTGCTGCGAAGGAGCTGAGTTTCAGAAGTTTTGCGTGGAGAAGCAGCCGCTTGCCGCTGGGTGCAAGCGTTACCTCTTCGCATCTTCTGGTTTTCCCACGGCAAAGGGAAGGAGGAGGAACGAGAAGCTCTTTGCTGAAAGACCTTGCAAAGCTCCCGAAAACGGGAATTTTTGTGCTCCAGCAGGATTGTTTTCCATTTACATCATCTTGTCCAAAAGCAGAAAATACAGAACGTGCGTTTTTTTCGGTCACAAAAAAAATGAGAAAAAACCCCCAACCCCGCAAGCCAACACTCCCGTGGCTGGGAATGGCTTTTTGTTGTCCCAAACCTCATGTGGAGCCCCAAGCTGGGAGTTGGGGTCTCAAAGATAATTAAATTATGACGGATTTGATGAAGTTAGTGGCCTGGGAGAGCAAAAAGACCAAAGCAACAGCTGCTGGCTGAGTCGAAGCTGTGTCAGACCTCGAATAGATCCGACGCCGCCCTTCCCGGCGCGGGGCAGAGCTGGCAGGGAGGTGAAAGATGCTTCAAACCTTGTTGGTGCAGATATTTTAGAAAGGAGAAGGATGTTGTGGCTCAGCTGGAACTTCTCAACGATTGGGCTGTGAGATTCCCTTCTTTGAGGGCTGTTGGGGCTGGAGCTGGGCTCAGCCCCCTACGAGACACCGGAGAATCTCCGCGGCCGGCACCCTTCCCGAGGGAAACCCGCTTTCGTCCCTCCCGCTGCTCATGGGATGATTTTTTTTTCTGTTTTACCTCTGAAAGAGGAAAAAAACCCCTTTTTTTGAAGATTTTCCCGTCTTCCGGCTGTTAAAACAAAAGGGCTTTTTTGGGAAAAAAAAAATCGGCAGAAAACAGTTTAGGGAAAAAAAATTGGCAAAAACCAGTTTAGGAAGAAAAAAAAAAAACAGGAAAAAAGGCAAAGCTCTTCCTTCCCCACCAGCAGCACCCGTTGCTTTTTTGGACGTTTTTCTAAAAACGAATGAGGACGTGTACAAAAATAGAAAAATAATAGGGAAAAATCCTCAGGAACCTGCAGGAGAAGCCCCGGGAACCTCCTGTCAGTGCCACTGACTTGGATTCCCACCACCTTTCTCCAGAAAAGATAATAAATAACTCAAATTAGGGGTACCAGGAATTATTATAAGGTAATTAGATAATAATTACTAAGTGGCAGGCATTACAGGTAACACCAGAGCTGAGGCAGAGGAAGAGCCGCTCCAGGCTATGTTTTGGCCTTAAAATAGAAATATTTATTACTTTTTAGGAGGAGAATTGTCAAGGCTCTGCGTTGTGAGGTTTTTTTGTTTGTTTTGTTGCTGTTTTTTTTCCCCCTCTGCTGAATTTGGCAAGAAAGGAGATCAAGACTTCCAGGAAATTCTGTAGCTTTGACTTCTCAAAAAAAAAAAACACCAAACCCCCCAAAAAATCAAGTTGGCAAGTGACGGTTCCATAATAACGCCTAATTGCTTTTGGTGTTTTGAAAATAGATTCAATGGGCACTGATTAAATCGGCTGCTGAGCACGAAAGAAGAGCTTTTGGGGGGAAGTTTCGCTGTACCCCCAACGGGTGATTAACAAGGCTCCCTTAACGAAGGAGGAGCTGTCGCCTCGTTATGTGGTCCAGTGCGACCGTCGTGGTTGGTAAATGGCCCTGCCCTGTTTTTGCCAGGGACGAGCTGCTTTTTCCGTGTTATTTAGGTTTTATTTCCCTCTTTGGAAGCAGGTTTTTCCCTTATTTTTAGTGGATATCATTAAGGTTGGTTTCCCCTCCTTCTTGTTGTTGGAGTAATTGTAGGTGACGAATGCGTCTCGAGCTGGGACGGGGCCAAATCCAGCTGCGGCGTAAACAGATCCTGCGAAAATGAAGAAGTTTCTCCCCATCCATCCATCATCCATCCCTCCATCCATCCATCCATCATCCTTCCATCCCTTCCTCCGTACATCCATCCATCCATCTGTCCCTCCATCCCTCCATCCGTCCCTCCATCCCTCCATCCATCCATCCCTCCATCCGTCCCTCCATCCCTCCATCCACCCATCCATCATCCAACTATCCATCCCTCCATCCATCCCTCCATCCATCCATCCCTCCCTCCATCATCCAACTTTCCATCTCTCCATCCATTCCTCCATCCATACATCCATCCATCTATCCCTCCATCCATCCCTCCATCCATCCATCCATCCCTCCATCTATCCCTCCATCTATCCCTCCCTCCATCCATCCATCCATCCCTCCATCCATCCCTCCATCCATCCATCCCCACGTTGTAATTCTTGAATGAGAGAGCCCCAAGGGCTGGATCCCGGCTCTTTAACCCCACGGAGCTCGCCGATGTCTTGGCTTAGGGCTCGGAGGCGTCGATTTGCCTGAGGGCACGACCTGCCCCTGTTCCTCAGCCTCCACTCCCACATCTCAAAAGTGTCCCCGGTTGTGTTTTCAGACGTTAAGAAAGAAAGGTTTTAACGGCTGTGACAGCCCGGAGCCCGACGGCGATGACTCGATAGACCAGAGCCCCTTGATGGAGGACAAATACCGTAAAGGCAGCGAGGATCTGGATATCCTCTTCAAGCGATACGGTGTAAGTACCTGCCCCTTGGCCGGAAAACCTTCATTATGTCTTCTTTTTTTTGT